CAATAAGGAAAGGGTTGCTGTATCCTTTCATGTACCCACGATCACATATGCAACTAATAAGGGACCTGCAGGTCTTCACATATAACTGAAACCACATTACACAAATTCACATAAAGCAACATTGGTTCTTTTTTGTGAGACATTCATTTTCAGCAGATGAAGGATGAAGCTTCTACTGTATAAACATGTGCTAGCCTGGATGCAAATCTTATGCTTGCCTCTTTTCCCAACTGTCCTCATTTTATATTAGCAATTTTTGCTGCCAAATGTGCACCTTACTAGTATCTTTTATTGACACAGTTTTTGATAGTCTGTATCTCTGACTAGGTTTCTCATGTTGTCCAAGCTGACAAAATACCTGGAGGACCAAAGTCTGAGAGTCACCAGTCTAAGATGTTTCACATTACATTCTGAGGGGCAAAGCAATGTACAAATCTATTCTAGTCTGCTGGAATAGAATTCAATTTAGCATTATTAAAAACACACAGAAGGAATAGACCTCCCTCAAATAAGTCATCTTATGAAGTTCTAGGAAGAGAAAGCACAATTTAATAGGAAATGCATGAAGACTAGTACTGGAACATGAAAATTAGTACTGAATTAATATTGAATCATAAGAATCATGAAAAGGAATTAAGGGACAACAAAGGAACTGAAAATGTCCTGCTTTCCAAAGAGCACAAAAGACCAAGATAAAATCAAGGATATCAGTAAAATATTCCAGAAAGTTCACTTTCCAATCTCCTGGTGTGTTCCCAACACTGACATTCTTTGGGGGGGGGGGGTTTGGAGAAACAAACATCAATCTCATCATATGCAGTTAAATTCACACAGAGATTTCAAAAACGTAGTAAACAAAAGAAAAACCAAACATTTCTTTTCAGCTTTCTGTTCATGATCATTGCTTGTCAGAGACTGTTAGTTCTGAGTATTGTTTCACATATCTAACAGTTTTTATTCAAGAAACCTGTGATTGAACACATTTGATTCTATGTGTAATAGAACCTTCTTTTTCCTTTTTTTTAAAGGTTTAGGCTACTTGCTTCTTCTACATCTTTAAGAGCACATACAGCCATAAATAGTTCAGGCAACCTTATGTTTTGCCTTTTCCACAATTCTGCTTTTGATATGGTACACTTGCTGATTGTTACTTTTCATAGCAATATCATATCTTGGCAATGTACTAGTAGATAACTATTGAGGTATCAAAACATTTGTTGTCCTGGAAGATGAAGAAAGGGAAGCTCTTAAAATTATTGCAATGGCATAATATATCACTACAATGTTAGGCTGTTCTTTAATCTTTCCAAAGAAAGATTAGAACATAATGGACAACAGCAATGGAATTAGAGAAGAATATATGGTACTTCAGCTCTAAAACCAAATCTAGTAATTTCTATTACAGAGCTGATGAAAAGTAGTAGTGTGCTTTCTAATAACACACTACACCAAGTTATTCTGGAGCAATTTTACTAGGACCTGAGGAAGACTGGCTGTGCAAGATGAAAGTTGGTGCATGGGTTGACTCTCAATCATATTCCTGATATAGGTTAGAGGGTGGCATGCCCTCTATTATGGTTCCTCTTCCATTTATGGTTAACTGCAAGTGTGTTGCCTCACGAGTCAAATATTGGTTTCTACTTGACTCTACAGTCATGTAATGGGGAACTATTCTTCTTGACCAATCTTAGCAATACAAATATGCTATCTGGTATCTCTTATGGACTGGCTTATTTTCTGAAATAATTTGATGACTAGCAACACTTCATGAATGTTTCTCCACAATAAATGCATGCGGGCTGGTATCATTAGTGACATACTCATCAGTAAATCCCACCACTTATGCAGGGTGAGTTATTTGCCAAGGCACATCAGTCATATTCTGCTGACAGTGTTGAAAGTGAAGGTGTATTTAAGCAATGTTGTGCCTTGTGGTTGTACACTACAGTTGCACTTTGCACAATGGTACCAAGTTAATCATGTGTTGTGCAATGTTATTTGGTATTGGTACTATGCTGAGGGAATGCTGGACTCAGCCAAGGTGAGAAAGGCATAAAAATTAAGAGACACGTACCAAGGAACTCGAGACCTAAATAAAGGCATGAGATCCCATCTGCTCTTGGAAGCGAAACAGGGTCAGCCCTGGTTAGTACTTGGATGGGAGACTGTCATAAAGAATACCTAGTGCTGTAAGGCTATAGCCTTTCAGAGGAAGGAATTGGTAGAATCACCTGAGTATTCCTTGCCTAAGAAACTCCCATGAAATGCATGGGTCATCGTAAATTGAAAATGACTTGAAAGAACACACACACACACACACACACACACACACCCCAAGGAACTCAGTTGGCTACAACTTTCTAGCCTATATATATTTCTAGCCTATCTCTACGTAGTCACTATCCAGATTTCCACATTTTCCCAGCATTTCTTGACCCTCTGAATACTGTTATTGTAGAAGTCTGCAGATTGTACCTTAAACCACTCTTCCACTTCATGAATGACATCATCTGTGTTGTCAAATTCATGACCTTGCAATGGATTTTTCATTTTTGGGAAAAGAAAAAGTCATTACACTGCAAAACAGGTTGAGTAGCAATATATTTCAAGTGACCTGGCAGTGCTGTCTAGGTTTTTTTGGAAACCATTTTGTCATAGGACAAAATGCATACATCAAGAATTAGTTTCATTTCACGGACTGCTTTGTTATCATATACACTCAAGATAATGCATGTAATAAGAGGACACATCTGAGGAAATGGACCAAGTCTACAAAAGCTTATGCCACAATGTCTTCTGCACAGAGCCTCAAAGGTGTTACACGATCCCTTTGCATACTAATATTCCAGACTAACATGGTTATGCCTCTGAAGAGGACATTCAAGTGATGGATAGTCTATGGCAGGGGTAGGCAACCCTTTTCATCCTTGGGCTGGTCCCCCGAAGCCCTCTTCTCCGCTGGGCCGAGGGGGGGGGATGGCGATGCGCACACTCACACCCCCGCCGCCGCATGCCCCCCCGCGTGCGCTGCCACCACCGCCGCCACGGCCGCCACTGCCGCCGCACATGGCGTGGCCATTTTGATGGCTACATGGAGCCAAAAACGGTGGCGGCAGGGGTCTGCCTGGGCCGGTAAGTCCGGCGACCTGGGCCGGAATGCCCAGGGGGCGTAGGTTGCCAACCCCTGGTCTATGGCTTCAACTATCCATAAAGGAATCTTGTCTCAGTGTATGCTGCCCCGGTTGCTTTGCAGAGGGGCAGGTTAGAAATAAAACTTATTATTATTATTATTATTATTATTATTACCCTGATGCCAATTATTAATGACAACTCGAGAGGAAAAATGTTTGTGTTGGCCTAATCTGGCAATGTTTAAATATATAAAAACAGTAATAAAACTGATAATTTCTCTTCTACAATTATACAATTACTATTGATTTTCTGTAATATCCCTTTCTTGCAATAGTTTTATATAATAAACGTGGCTACTGTTAAAGTGTGTTCACAAAGGTAAAAAAAGAATCAAAATACAATGTCCTGTTGTTACTGTTTTAATTAATTGTAGCTCTTGATATTAATACTGCACAGTCATCATTTTACTGTTATGAGTTAAGATAGTCAGTTTACTATTTAGCCATTATGAACAAATGCAGAATGTAACTTTTCATTTTTCCATCTTCTAACTTTACTGGCCTTGATCTGATGTTATCCTTTGATCATACCTATTTTAGTAAGATACAGTCTAATAAAAAGAAGAAAATAATACAAATCAGAGCTAAAATTGAGCTCTTTTCAGGAATCCAAAGTTCCATTAAATAACTTTCTTTTAGCTTTTATGTACACATCGTTGTTTCATCAGAATATATTTCAAGGTCATTATATATAAAAGATTTCCCCCAAATTATAGAGGGTTTCTTTATACTCATAACTTCTTTAGTGCCAATATAATTTCTGTGGCGATAAAGAGAATCCAAATAACATCTGAACCAATTAAACTGCAAACAAAGCTTTATGAGAAGCCCAGATGTGAAGGATCCATCTTTTGCAAAGAAGCACACTGTGATAAAAAGAGTTTTTAAAAATATAACAAGCACTGTTTTCTTAGCACTATGCTAGCACATTTTTAAAGACTTTTCCCCTCAGCCTTTTTCTACAAAAGACTTTTCTACAAAAGATTATCTGATCTGATGAAAGTCTTCTCCGATGCTTCACCTGTTCCCCTATCTCACATCCAATTCCTGCATTTTGTTTGTAACTTGCAGCTATTTAACAGATGTTCATATAGATACATACACATGCATACCTTCCAATCTTCACAAGGTAAAACAGGTTGAAGAAAATGAGCATTTAATAAAACTACAGACATGTGATACTACTACTAGATCATGTGACTTTCCCCAAAAGTGCAGTACAGAGAAACTGGCTGAAAACTTCCAACTCCAGCAAAGTCTATGAGGGTACTTATCAATAATTCCCTAATGGCTACACATCACTTGTCTAAACTACATAAAAGCTATCTCTTACATAGTACATTCTCCAACCTATTCCTATCCTTCCAAATTTCAGATCAATAGAGTAATTTTCCAAACACAAAACTACTGCCTCTGCCATTAATTTCTGGAGGTAATGGCAGAATATGATTCATCCTTCTTGATAACCTTTTGTGGCTCTATAATATTCAAACAGACTTATAACAACAAAGGCAATCAGACCAATTATATCAACTTTCTTTTTAGTAATCCTCTTATGGCAGTGCCAAATAATCATGGCCTGCAGATGTTTATCTCCATTTTGTGGGAACAACAATGGACCCACCAAAGGTCCTCCAAACTGGTAGAGTGGTAATGGGAGAATCCTTGTGTTATTGTGTTCATATATTTCCATATTGCCTTATCATAGTGCTTATTTCATGCACTTTGGGACTGTGTGCAAAATTTCCCGCCCTCTGTCTCATCATGTCAGGTAGTACAAATCCAGTCAATGTAAATATGGCATCAAGAGCCAGGATGGTGTAGTGGTTTGAACACTGAACTATGACTCTGGAGATCAGGGTTCAATTCCCCACTTGGCCATGAAAACCCACCGGGTGACCTTTGGTGAGTCACACAGCCAGCCCCAGAAAGCCAATTTTGCAGGTTCACCTTATGGTCGCCTTCAGTCTGAAATGACTTGAAGGCACACAAGAAAAACATGACATCACGGCAAGATTTTACTTCATTTTTTTAAAAAAAGCTGTATTTACTGCATCTCCCTCTCTGTCCCTTAAAACATCAGCTCAAAACACATCTATGTTTACAAAATGCTCATCCCAAATGAGCACAATTGCATCCTGTGCTTGTTTATCATGATGTATGTTACACTATGAAGAATGGAACTTATTTCTTGGTAAATGTGGTTAGGACTGAAGTCTCAGTACAGATAAAGATATTTGATCATGGCCCTCCCTTGTTATCCTTCCCTTTCACTCCCTTCCATTGTCTCTGCCTTTTTGTAGCTTTTAAACTGCTTTGGCTTTTGCTTCTGTGTGAGGTTACCCCTTACTATTACTATGGATATTATTACCAGGCAAAACGTCTTGGTTCATGTAATGTCATAAACTGAAGCAGGGTGTGTATGTGAATACAATATTCTTTAAACGACAAGACAGACCAGTAAAATACAACACAAAAGACAATGAAGTACACTGCATTATCTTTGTTTTGAAAGAAGCAGCCAAGGAGTCATTTAGTGGGAAAGTATATGCCAAATTCAGTAACTGGGGGGGGGGGGAATCCATTTCAGATGAAGGATATATAAGCACAAGATAGGATTACGAGCTACACTCCAAGTTCAGGAAACAAAACTTATATGAAGTAATGATATGCTTTACAATGATTCAGCCTAGATAAAAGAAAACAAAAGTAACTTTCATGCTTTACAAGTATATTAGTCAAATAGTCCAAGAGCTAGATTCTGGAATAGAAAAATGATTTTGTTATGCAAAATGTGGGAAAAGGCACAGACAGAGTGTCTATCTGCAAACTTCACAGTCAAGACATTCTCATGGGCAAATTCTCTCTCTTCCAACACCATTCATCATTCCAACCCCAACAGCTCCTAAAATCTTCTTTTGCCATACTAGTTTAACAACATGAATAACTAGATTTACGGTCTCTATGTTTGTAAGTTGCAGACACTTTGATTACTTTTTATATACAAACGCATTCAGGGATCTAATTTCTTTCCTAGTATGTATAACAAATGAAGACTTCATCCACACTGCAGAAATAATCCAATTTGACACAACTGTCATGGCTCAATGCTATGGAATTCTGGGAACTGTAGTTTGTGGTAGCAACAGAGCTCTCTGACAGAGAAGGTTAAATATCTCACAAAACTACAATTCCCACAACTGATGTCAACTGGATTATTTATGCAGGGTAGATGCAGCCAAACATGTGGAAAAACATTCCAATTAACTAGAACCAGAATTTAACTGGAAAAAAACAATCTGATGTGAAATGGCAACCATCCTGAAATTAGCTTATCATAACCTAGACAACATACATTTGTATCAGTAACATAGAACTCCACACCCACCTGTGACAAACTAGCATAAGTGTTGAAATGGCTTTGTTACTCACTATTCATGATACAACAAACTATTATTACATCCAAAGAAATCTTTCCTATCATGATGATTAAACAAAGTCATATTAAAAATCAAGTTTAACCTGAATTACGGTATTGACTGTACAATAACTGAGCCTCTGCATAGACTGGAGAATAATGATGCTGGTGCTGAAGACTTCTGGAGGGATAACAGCCAAACAGGGAATATTATTCAGTAGAAAACAGGAGTGAATACCTAATCTAGGTTCCAGATCAGAGATCTAAAATTGCAGTTTTGTTTTGTTTTCTAAAATGGAAGACTCTAGGTTAAGCATTCCTGTTTTAGAATTATAGAATCATAGAGTTGGAAGAGACCAGAAG